AACATCATCTGCAAATTGTTTACATATAACACCACAGTTCTCAAGAAGTTTGGGAAGCTCAGCTGTATATATTGAAAAAAGGATCGGAGATAACACACCACCTTGAGGAACTCCACTTCTAACATTTCTTACATTCGAGAAGCCTTTTCCTATTCTGACTTGAAAAGTTCTACCTGACAAATACTCATTTAACCAACGACAAATGAGAGGATGAAATTTCAGAAGAACAAGTTTATGCATAAGTTTGGAGTGATCAACTTTGTCAAAGGCCTTCGAAAAATCGAAATAGATAACATCACTCGTATAAATATATCGATATGTACTATGTTGCCTTCATTATGAATATCGTATATCTCCGTATGTCTCTATCGTATATCATATATCATCGGCATGTAGCTGAACTTCATTGAAGGGTGAGTTTTTAATATTCCGGGGATATCATATGTACATATATGTTAGAAATGAGAGAGATGGCAAAACACCTTCCGGTGGAACTCCACTAGGGCGCAACTGTAGGCGAAAAATTAACAGAAAACTAGTTGCATGGCTCTTTGGAAATCACCTGTGAAAAACACGATTCGTAACCGAGCATCTACAACCACTCAACTTACCAACTGTATATTTGACTGGAATTTGGCACTGAACAAAGGAAATGCGGTGAAAGAAGTCTACTATTTTGACCTGTCAAAAGCGTTTGGCAAAGTCAACCATTCCAAACTCCTGCTCAAATTTTAGCGACTTGAAATTCGTAGAATACTACTATATTGGATCATTCGCATCCCACCAACAGGTCTATGTGTGTCAAAGTGGGGAATTGCTTTTCCAATCTATACAGTTGCCCTAGTGGAGTTCCACCGGAAGGTGTTTTGCCATCTCTCTCATTTCTAACATATATGTACATATGATATCCCCGGAATATTAAAAACTCACCCTTCAATGAAGTTCAGCTACATGCCGATGATATATGATATACGATAGAGACATACGGAGATATACGATATTCATAATGAAGGCAACATAGTACATATACACCAAGATCTCTCGCATTCCATCGCTAACATGATATATTGTGCTCGACGTGGGAAATGCCCATCAATCTTTCGAAAACCTGTGTATTTCGCCTTGGCAACATCGTACAGAACACATTCAATGGGACCGTACTAACTTTTTCACACGAAGTACGTTACGTAGGGGTACACCTGAATAAGTATCTAGATTTTGAAGGTCATTAGAGAAATTAGAGAAAGCGCAAGAAGTCTTCACTAGGATTCTAGTCCAAAGATGTAGCTCAAATCCGATGCCTTGGCAAGGATATACCAGTTTATAGCGAAAGATTAAAGGCGTATAAACTTAGATAGTTTGATCTATCGTCGTGTTGTCAATGATTTAGTATTCTGCTTTAAGATCCTCAAAGGCGAATCCATATTGAGAGTTAGCAAATACTGGATATTCAGGCCAGGTCATGGACGCGACGCTGTGACTCTTTACACTATTCCATTATTAGTAGAAAGCACTATGATAGAACGTTCAACACGATCCTTCTCCGTGAAGCGAGATGGCTACAAATGCTTTAGAGGATTATCGTCGAAGCCCCTACTTCCAAAAGTAGGTCGCTGTAGATTGCGTAAAACATTATTATTTAATTTCAGCATTGAGCCTTCCTGAAGCGTAATAAGTTCCGTCGTTATCAAGAACCAGGTTTTTGCGAGAGCTCTCACGATAAAATTGTGATGCTATGAGGCAGAGTACACCTAATATCGTACTAAGTTGCGAGATTCAATTACAAAGGCAAAGGCGTTCGATTTGGAAGGTACAAGGATGCAACTATTGCTCTTTGTTCTCACATGTCATGCTCTACAGCTGCTCTTGAAATTCAACTTACTACGAGCTACTATAATTTTACAACGTATTTGCCACGACATTACTTAAGGTGTCTGTTTAATCAGTACAAACTAGTTAAATTAATTGCCATCGTAAGTCCCCCGTGCTTACACCTGAAGTCCGTGTTTAGGTTAAAGAGGTGCATTAGCACTAGCCCTTGTGTAGCGGTAGCGGCGTGGTTATCTTCAGGGCTAATTGATTCATTCATATCTTGCATTTTATTACAGACACTTTTCCTCACCACACATTCTCCAATGTTTTACTACAAACAATGCATGTCTTGTCATGAACAAAAAGTATCCAATTATCTCAAGCATTCGGAAAAGCCTCTTCTTGAAGCGAACGCAATGCCTTGTACACTGTAATACCAAATTATTCATACTGTTCTCACGATTATTTGTATATTGGTTACAACTGATATAGTTTGTGCACATTTACTGTGCAAATTGAATACATAAATAAATAAACAAAAAAGTCAGCAATTCAGTTTTATGCGCTGTTGTCGTTGAAGCCAGTGGTTCAGTTGTTGACGTGGGCTCTGTCGTCGTCCAAGGCTCTGCTGTAGTAGACGTCGTATACGCTGTTGTCGTTGAAGTCAGTTGTTCAGTTGTATGCGCTGTTGTCGTTGAAGTTGGTGGTTCAGTGTCGACGTGGGCTCTGTCGTCGTTCGAAGGCTCTGTTGTAGTAGGCGTCGTATACGCTGTTGTCGTTGAAGTCAGTGGTTCAGTTGTTGACGTGGGCTCTGTCGTCGTCCAAGGCTCTGCTGTAGTAGACGTCGTATACGCTGTTGTCGTTGAAGTCAGTGGTTCAGTTGTTGACGTGGGCTCTGTCGTCGTCCAAGGTCCAAGGCTCTGCAGTAGTAGACGTCGTATACGGTGCTGTTGTTGAACTCAGTGGTTCAGTTGTTGACGTTGGCTCTGTCGTCATCCAAGGCTCTGCAGTAGTAGACGTCGTATACGCTGCTGTCGTTGAACTCAGTGGTTCAGTTGTTGACGTTGGCTCTGTCGTCATCCAAGGCTCTGCAGTAGTAGACGTCGTATACGCTGCT